ATATTGGATCATACAAGCATGCAGGTGAGCTGCAATAACAATGTGTGCCTAATTTGGTATTCTTTTGGAACACAAGAAAGTAAATATGGATTTCTTCTATCATTTTCTCCTCCTCCATTCTCACAGATATATGCTTGGCACTTCTTGTAACCAGATTCAAATATGCAATGAAGGTCGCCAAACTGCATTGACTGAAATCTTGGAGATACTGACAGTGGTGTGTGAAACTCACAAATTACCGCTTGCTCAGACCTGGGTTCCTTGTATGCATCACAATGTTTTGGCTTATGGTGGTAGCCTGAAGAAGAACTGTACTAGCTTTGATGGTAGTTGCATGGAACAGGTCTGCATGTCCACAACTGATGCGGCATTCTACATTGTCGATGCTCCTATGTGGCATTTTCGAGAGGCCTGTGTTGAGCATCACTTACAAAAGGGTCAAGGGGTTGCTGGGAGGGCATTTTTGTCCCGTAACGCATGCTTCTGCAGAGACATTACCAGTTCTGCAAAACTGAGTACCCTTTAATTAGTACACTATGCACGCATGTTTAAGTTAACCAGCTGTTTTGCAATCTGCTTACAGAGCACTCATACTGGAAATGATGATTACATTCTAGAATTTTTTCTTCCCCCGAGCATCACAGACAGTTATGAACAACAAACTTTGTTGGGCTCCTTATTGGCAATAATAAAGAATCATTTCCAGAGTCTCAAGGTTGCTTCTGGAATTATACTTGAAGAGGAAGGGCTTGTCGAAATGGTTCAAGCTTCTACAAACAAGGGACTTGACTCAAGACTTGAATGTATACGTATACCTCGTTCCGCGGAAACACCACCAGGGCCTACCTTACCTAATGGAGAAGAGATGGTGCAGCTAGATTCATCAAAGCCACAGTTAATGGTGGACTTTGATCCTGCAAATGATGGGAGCAATGCTGTTGATGAGGGTGGAGAAAACAATATTTCTTGTCCAGAGAATAATGACAACAGGGAACAACCGCAGCAAGATGGCTCATTTTTTCAACTAG